TAAGTTCTCTGAACTGGTGAACATGATCCGAAGGTACTGTCAAGCGAACAGTTATCACACTCTGTTATGAGTATTGAAGAATAGGATGAAATTGCATTTTGCATCAGGAACCATCATGTGAACACTGTTCAATGTGTGATATACTATAGGCATATGAATAAAAGAAATTGATAATTTGATTGTTGCTTATGTTTCATTAGCCAGCTGTGTAAATGGGGATGTTTCATGATTTTGACTCAATTTAACAGCCACACTTATCTTATGAAACCATGCATTGCTTGGGCATCTCAGGAATAAAAAACACATGTTTCCTTAGCTCTGAGAACGTCTGATGACACATTGATGTGTTATGTCAAAGTTCAAAGTCACGAACAGACAAAAAAATTGTTTGTGGTCTAACTCTTCCTTTGGGCAGGGGTCGAAGTTGGAAAAAGGTCGTGCGTGAGCTTCATATACTACATTTTCCCCGAAATTGCCTTTTTCTGCAGAAGTTTTAGTAACTCTTATACCTATACTGGTTATATTATTTTCATATTTTTGTCAATGTTATGTTGAATTCTACCAAAGGACAGCATATTTGGTTTATGTGCTGGATAGCTCTTTGATTTTTTTTGGAAATATTTATCACTGCTATTGAAGGTCAAATTCACACTCAAAAGTGATAACTCATGAAGGGTTGAAGTGTAAGATCAAGGCATTAGTGAAGGGGTCATTCATTAAGTATTTCTGCAATTATAACTAAAATGCCTATTTCTGGAGATATTTGTGAAGTATTAAGCACATAGTTGTTATATTATTTGAATACACATATATGAGCAGTGGTTACAACTCCAATGTCAAATTAACTCTCAATCTCTTTCAATAAAAGAATTCACAGTAACTGAGGAAGAGCTCACTGTAGTACCATAAAACTAGCGTGAGGCAAACTTCAATGAAGTTAGCATTTTGGATATAACAAGTACATGTACCGTTACAAATAGTCTTATTATCATCTCACTAGGACCAAAGGCCCAAGTGAGCACATTGTCAATGACTTTTTCTTTTTCTCAGTACAAACTGGAAGTCTGGAAATTTAAGGATATCATTATACGAGAACTGATGTTTGTTCATTAAATACCCTTAACATCTGAAAAGAACAATATATGAAATTGAACAATTGTCTTCTCCAAAAATGCATGCCCCTAGATCTCAGTTTTAGGAGGATATTTACCATAAATGTAACACAGAATATTACAACAGCTATCTGTTATGCACAGACTAACATTATTTACCAGAAACAAGACATGAAGAAAATTTGCATCCGGATACCTTCCGGAAACCTTCCGGAAACCTTCCGGAAACCTTCCAAATACCTTCAACAACCTTCAAATTTCTTGGTATTTTCCAGATAATTTTTTTATGTGTTTCACACTTAAGTGAACAAAATGCACCCCCTAAATTTTGACATTTTTTTTTTGAAGGTTTCCGGAAGGTATCCGTGCGGAATCCAAATGGGAAGGTATCCGGAAGACGGAAACCTACACTTTTTTTGCTGTGGAAAACACGGTATGTTTATCTCTTAATTCATGGTAGAAGCACCTTATTATTATTATTATTATTATTATTATTATTATAGAGTATGCGTCCTGGGCAGAATATAATGTGCAACAGAGAATGACTCATATAAGTGAAATATTTCCTCATATTCTATAAGAATCGTGCCCTTAAAGATGGATACATGTAACACGATCGATTAATGTATATTGTGATGACAAACCTGGTATTATAATACGTCATATGGAGTATTAGTTGTCAATAATATGCGGGAGTACGGATTGGTTTCTCCAAAGTGTAAATGTCGGAGACCTGCATCACTTCGTGATATAACTGTAATGTTGCTCAAAGCGGCGTTAAACCCAACTCACTCACTCTGATATTTTTGTAAGGCAAAGGTACAGCCAACAGGGAAGCGATTGACTTCATATCATGTGATACCAATACTGATTTAACTGCCGCTTGACTAAATTAGTGGGTTAATGTTGTTGATCGAGTGTTTGTAAACTGAGCTACCTCCAAGAGATTGCTTGACGGCGACGGTGTATCCTCTAATCTGCTACGAGTCAGTGGGAGTTCTTTGATCAGAATTGAGTTACTATAACAGATCACCAACACAGTAAGCGCCTTTATCTGTAAACGTGAAGCAACAGGTTCAGAGATGATAATCAGACAAACATCTCGTTCCGAGTTGCAATCGATGACACTGCTCCGTACATGCCATCATGATCGATATGGAGTTGATAGAAGACAGTATATAAAGCGCAAACACAATACAACAGGGGACTGCTCAAACCTCATGGTTGTATTACCCCTGTCAACATATCAGAAAAAAGGTTATGCTTTCAAATGGATTCTCAAGGCCCTGTCGGGAAATAAAAAACAGTAAACAGTGTGAAAGTATTGTGTGTCAATTTCCAATGCGGCCATCCGTGGTTATATTATCTTTAAAAGATGGAAAGTCTGATAGCTCAAAACCGCCCTATCATTCCAAACATTTTAAAGCCTTACAATGTATACCTCGGTCTATTACCATTGTAATAAGTGCGGTGTGTGACATCGAGACACTCTGTAATTAAGATCATACTTTAACTGTTACAATTTGAGGTAGCCGACAACAAAGTGATGTTTAAACAAATATAATCTTTCTAGGAGTGCCGATTCCTTTACCCTGTTTGAAAGATGACACCTCGAATGCTCAATTTTGCTTTGGAAGTCGAGGCTTTCTACTCTTGATTAGAAATATGAAAGGATGAAACTTTCAAACTAGCTCTAGTGTTGTAGCTTTCCAACCTGATTTGGAAACTGTAAATTTCACACACTCAAAGGTAGTTACAGCTCGTTGTTTGTCATAAAATTGAAATTTGGAGGGCCAGATATGGTTACACTCATTTTTACGACATTCGTTCACGTTTGTAAACGAGTTGAATTAGTATCATATTCGTGGGAGGGAGTGGGAGATATTATTTACTTTGTTAATATTACATTTACTTACGTTAAATTAGAGACAGTACAAATTCAACATTTACGACATTCGTTCCCGTTTGTAAACGAGTCTGTATCACATCCGTGAATGGAAGGGGAATACAATCTATTTATGTAATATTAAATTTACTTAAATTGATTTAGAGGCAGTACATATTCAACACTGAGACAATCAACTAATGTATCTCTATGTAATTGTAATGTTTTATACTGCAAATTTGTGCCATATGAACTCCAAATCCTTCAACCACTCCAACCTCCTACACCAAATCAACTGCCCACACAAACACAAAGGTACGCCGTTCACGTGGTAATTTTATCTTTTGGTAAATTTACAATTAAAGTAATATATCGTGATGTGATATATGAATAACAGTACTATCAGTAGCAGGACCATTGCCACCCAAACAATTGCCACTGGGCAATTACCGCCCTTAAAAATTGTTACATTAACATGTTTATTATTACCTTGATTTAGTTAATTATACTATAAGGGTAATGCTATTTCTCAGGGCATTATCATTTGCATAGGCCCAAGGTTTTCCATTAACTGCCCGACGAAGGAGGGCAGTTGAAAAGACCGAGGGCTTCTGCAAATGATAATGCCCTGAAAAATAGCGTTACAGTTATTATAGCTAAAATGGATGGAATTTGTTATCAAACAAAACGAAACAACAATATCGGTTCTGAAACATTTACTGCAATCAACAGGAATGTCACTGACCTACTTTTACAAATATGGAAACGTCATAAAACAAACCAGATGACGGCACTATTCAACGTGACGTCACCTATCCCTATCTTATGACGTCACCTAACAACGGGCGTGATAATGGTCCGTTTTCAAGCAATATGAGGGCATTATCAAGTTACAGTGGCCCCCTCATTTCTGATAACATGCGGGCGGTTTGATGATAATTCTATCCATTTTAGCTAGTATATAGAGAATCTCATCCGAGGGTCTTTTGATATCAAATATATCAACACGAGTTGATAAAAGTGGGAAAACTCCGAGGCTTGCCGAGGATTTTTTCCACTTTTATCAACGAGTGTTGATATATTTGATATCGAAAGAAACGAGGGTGAGATTTTATTTATCATCCAACATCATTCTTCCAACTTTTTTGTTTGTAGACAGTAATTAGCAGTGCCTTAAGTGTAAAAAATACTGCTTACAGCCATTAGTGATGTCATTTGATTGTGACGTCATGGTAACCAATGACGTCACAATGGTCTGCAAAGCATTGTGATGCAATTTCATTGCAGCGATATCTACAGTGTAGATATCGCTTGATCTCACCCAAGCAATTGCAATATCTCCCGTGGGAGACAGTTTTGGACGATAAAAAAAACCCTTAACAACGTGATACATTGTGGATAAAAATCACTGTCAAAAGTAAACAATTTCAAGTAAAACTTGAACTGTCCCAAGAACAACAGATAAGACACACAAGTTCTGAAACAGTTCAAACTCTGTAGTTGTGAGTCTTGGAGCGCAGATAGTTCATGCTGTGTCGGGTATTAAAGTCTGACGCAGTGGTAGGAAGTCGCTGTTGGCAGCCTTATATGGTTGGCGACATTTCGCCACACAGTTCCGATATACGTATATTCTGTAAACCCTCTCCAAAAGTTACATTATCATAACCTATATGACATCATGTAGGTATCAAACAATAGTGGTTCCTGACCAATTATGTTATTTTAAGTAACAAGCAACGCTGTTCCTAAGAATCCCCACCCCTCTCACAATACAAAGGGTTTACAATGGTAAGACATCTTCATTGAGTACAAAAATAATGTGGTAGGAATAGTCCTTCCACCTATAGTAAATTCACTGGGTGACAGTTGTCCCAGGTGGTAATTGTCTGGGTGGCAGTTGTCCCAGGTGGTAATTATCTGGGTGGCAGTTGTCCCAGGTGGTAATTGTCTGGGTGGCAGTTGTCCCAGGTGGTAATTGTCTGGGTCGCAGTTGTCCCAGGTGGTTATTGTCTGGGTGGCAGTTGTCCCAGGTGGTAATTATCTGGGTGGCAGTTGTCCCAGGTGGTTATTGTCTGGGTGGCAGTTGTCCCAGGTGGTAATTGTCCTGGTGGCAGTTGTCCTGGTGGCAATTGTCTGGGTGGCAGTTGTCCTGGTGGCAGTTGTCCTGGTGGCAATTGTCTGGGTTGCAGTTGTCCTGGTGGCAATTGTCTGGGTGGCAGTTGTCCTGGTGGCAATTGTCTGGGTGGCAGTTGTCCCAGGTGGTAATTGTCTGGGTGGCAGTTGTCCCAGGTGGTAATTGTCTGGGTGGCAGTTGTCCTGGTGGTAATTGTCTCGGTGGCAGTTGTCCCAGGTGGTAATTGTCTGGGTGGCAGTTGTCCCAGGTGGTAATTGTCTGGGTGGCAGTTGTCCCAGGTGGTAATTGTCTGGGTGGCAGTTGTCCTGGTGGCAATTGTCTGGGTGGCAGTTGTCCCAGGTGGTAATTGTCTGAGGCAGTTGTCCCAGGTGGTAATTGTCTGGGTGGCATTTGTCCGAGGCGATACTTGTCTGGGTGGCAGTTGTCCTGGTGGCAATTGTCTGGGTGGCAGTTGTCCTGGTGGCAGTTGTCCTGGTGGCAATTGTCTGAGTGGCCGTTGTCCTGGATGCAGTTGTCCTGGTGGCAATTGTCCTAGACCCATATTACCACCAGCTGTCTCTCCCCTTACCTGCCTGTCTCTCCCTCACTCACATTTCCCATACAGACTTTCCATTTTAGCAATCAGTATTTGTATTCAAAGCTTCTTTCCCCGAAGCTAAGGATATCAGATGGTACCAAGTACTGCACAAAGCAAGGATGGATTTCTACATTTAGCTCTACTTTGTCAGAGGAAACGCGTCTTTGTATGGTAGCAGAGTCGTTACATTTCAGAGACTGATTAGATTTAGCATTTCTGTGTAATACTTGGTAACATCGAGGATTCATGTTCAGTGTATGCCCGAGGTTTGAGACAGTAGTGTATAAGCAGAAATAATTTTCTATTCGCGAGTAATTACCCTGGTGTTCATTTCGAAATATTTTCTTATTAAGAGGGTTGTTACTGCTTTGTAACACATTCAGTTAGAAACATCCGGATAATAGAATTATAAATAGTAATAGTAAGCGTTTGCCGGGACTTGATTGTGAGTTCGACATAAACGGTGATTCGACACAACAGAGTTCGCGACATCGGGGTTCGACTGTATTGTTTCGATAGTTTCAGGCAAAACGAGTTCTGAGACCATTCTTCGATATATTAAATTGGCAGACATAATAATGGTTTGTCATGAAATGTGTGACATATAACGTCATCTGCATTCAGTCATTCGCTTTAATAACATTAGTGGGCGGGAGTGGGAGGCTATACATTCATCACGACTCTTTGGTCGATGGGGTTGGTTAGAGATATGGCGACATACTAGCGCTATGGATTCCACGGTTATATACTTTGAGGAGATATAAAACTTTCCTTCGACAAGAAGAATATTCAATCTACTTTTTACTTTAGCCAAAAAATGTCTGTATTACATTTCGTGTATACTTCATGTAAGTGGAGGGGCAGTCGGGTAGCCTAGTGGTTAAAGCGTTCGCTCGTCACGCTGAAGACCCGGGTACAATGTGTGAAGCCCATTTCTGGTGTCCCCCGCCGTGATGTTGCTGGAATATTGCTAAAAGCGGCGTAAAACCATACTCACTCACTCACTCACTCATGTTAGTGGGGTTTGTAGAAATCGTGATCAGTTGGCGACCATATGAACAAAGACTTGCCAGACTTCAAAGACCTGAACGCAAACGATTCCACAGCTTTTATGGGGTTGGTCATTTATCCCTTTGTATTTAATGTAGACGTCAAACACATAAATGTTAACCGATTCCGCGAAGCCCATTTTTGGTATCTGCCTTTGTGATATAACTGCAATGTTTCCAAAAGCGTGTAAATTAAAACTTGTTTGTTGTTTAACGCTGTGCTCGGCAATATTTCAGTGATAAGGCGTCGGTGTGAAAATACTTGATAGGTAATCCAGTGGTTGATATTATGAGTAACTTCCAACGAGATTGGGGTACGACAACACACGTCATCCAGCATGACAGCATGACGATTCATCATGCGATGATACCTACGCATCATATCGGCTACGTATATGAAAGATTCTTCCCAACCAGTAGGTGGCCGATATGAATCTTGCCGTGGATACGATATATCATATCCTTTGGACGTGACGCGTTCTTCCCTCGGACTTTTGTCACAACGCGATGTTGTTCCTCAAAATGACGTCATTTCGAATAACATCATAATATGATGCTGTCACGTTCTGCTAAAAGAATGAGAATCCTGCAGTCTTTCATCCTTAATTATCCATTTTATGATATGTCAAATGTTTAATGCTTAAAAACTCTGGTTCCATTCGCTACAATTGCTTCGTTTTTAGCCCGGGTCAAACTAAAAATGCCTGGTCGCCTCACATCAAAAGATGTTAAAAGATTGTTGCTCAGCCTTGCTCACAGTATTAAGGGGATGAAACAAGGACTTGTCGGCTCGTAGTAATTATACAGCGTCTGAGTGGGGTATCCTTATGCATGTTAAACATTGTTTCTCATGGGATAGCCCCGTAAACCCGGCATTAGTCCGCACTAGTACAAGCAGCCACACACACACACACACGCGTTCTCACACACGTGCACTTACATTGCATGAACAGTGCAATATTCTTGAACGGACGTTAAACCCCATTTCACCTCACTTCAAATTACATAATGCTGACATAAGCCCCATAAGCGATACAAATTCAGTGTGTGATGAGAGGTGAGGTGAAAAGGGGTTTAACGACGCATCCAAGATTATCGCACTTATATAGCGACGTATATGAACGTGTGTGTGTTTGTGTGGCTGCTTGTACTAGTCCGGACTGATGCCGATTTATAGTGCTAGCCCACTGAGATACCATGCCGCAGTTTAACATGAATACCCCACTCAAACACAGTATACTGACTCCGAGCCGACCAGTCCTTCTTTTAGCACCTTAATGCCGAGCGCCGGACGGGTAACAACAAGTACCATCTTTTCCCGGCCGGGAATCGAACCCCGATCCTTCCGCTCGCCGGGCGGACGCTCTACCACAAGACCACGAAGGCGGTCAAAGTGATAAGAGAGAATGGGACTTCATGAAACGAAATGTATATGCAGCAAATAGGTGTTTATCACAACAGAATGGAGACATATACCTTGGATTATCAAGGATGCAGTCTGTGATTAGCTGATCTACGTTCGACTATGATTCGTTCGCTAAAGAAGATAAATACTATGTATTTAGAGGCATTTCTTTATCAACCCAATCGGTAAGCAATTTTAGACACCCTGCTAGGGGTTCTAGATTGTCTGAAGCAAGCGTGGCAATATATGTCAGACAGAAACCCAGACTATCGAAGAACGGCTAACAGAGAGTATTGTGAAATCCGTAAAATCAACACAGCTGCTACTTGCCATTTTGCACTAGTCTGTCTTGTACTGCCGTGTCTACAGCGTTATTTCCTGTCTGTAGAACTTCATAACAGTTATGTGTAGTTTTGAACCAATCGTGATCTCATGACACTCTTCCGCTATTAGGACCGCCTAGGTGGTCTAGTGGTAGAGCGTAGAGCGTAGAGCGGTAGAGAAAGGTTGGGTACATGTTGTTACCCTGCCTGGCGCTGGGAATTAAGGGGCTTAAACAAGGACAAGCTAAAATCAGCTCGGAGTCAGTACAGTGACACACACACACACACACTCACACACACACAATCACAACACACACACACACACACACACACACACACACACACACACACACACACACACACACACATCGCTATATAAGTGCAATAATCTTGAACACGACATTAACTCAATTCCACCTCACCTCACTGTGTTATGCTCTGGAACTACAGAGAACGCCATATACTTTCGATTTTGTAGTTAGCGAGGCTTTACTCTATGTAGCGGATCGTGATCATATCAAAAACAACAATTGAACAAGCAATCTGGAAGAATTTTATTTTGCATACATCCACCGTACCGTGTTTAGACCAGTTCTAGTAACTCGAGTTAAGTTAGTATGTTTTTTCAAACATTTTGAATTCGATTTACCCTGGTTAGAGTTGACCTATTTTTAACTCTTGAGACAACAAACTGAGCTCGAGGCAACAGGGAATTCGACACATCCAATTCGACACACCAGGATTAAAGAGAGAGATACATTTTGATATACTTCGGCGCGAAAAAAGACAATTACATGTACAGGAACATATTCGTATAGGGCGATATGTCACCATCTTTAGGTTTGTGGAATTTCTGTCGCTTATGTAATTTGTTGTACTACAAGGATCAAGAATATCTTTTGGTCTGATTTGTTTCGTCGACCATATCAAATTTCAAAACTGCCTTCTTTTAATGTCCAACTTAATTCAATCATCAAAAATCCTCGAGTTAACTTGGAACAAACTTTCAAAAGTCATTCATTGTGCAAAAACAAACCTGACTGTGCTTACCAATGCGGATATACACTTTTTATGAGCAATTACTGACAGGATTCTTCGGCTGTTTGGTTTGCTTCAACTATGTTCCTCGTTGCTTCCTACATGCTATTTCTTAATCATTGTCAAGTGTCAGTGTGAAGTATGTTATTGCCTAAAATAGTTTCACAAGAAAATAGTTAAGGGACTTTCATATTTCACGAAAGCAGTTAGATTAACTTTTGCAGCAGTTACCGTTGAGAAGGATGCCAACTGTGGGACAAGACATGCTCATCTTATCGCGAACACCTAGCATAATCACTATTTGAGCATGATAGTGATTCAAAAACATATTCTTAATTGTCGTAATCGTACAGTGGACTCAGCTTTTAGCAAATATTTCTTATGGTAAATTGAAAGGTTTTTATTTGTTAACAATACTTTACACTATAAGTAAGTTGACATAAAACTACTGAACGGAGATTGGTCAAGAGTATTTAGTGCTCTACTGACTTGGACATTTTCTTATGCTATAATACATGGATACCAGATTAAGGTGTACACAACATTGATAGTGTTTCATTATAAAACACTTATTACAATTTTAGTATCTATTTATAGATGTAATTGTAAGAAAACAGTTCAAATGATAAGTTGTTTTTCAAGAAGGTTGTGTAGCAAGTGATTGTTTATTTCATATAATCGAAACATAAAACATTACTTCAGGACCTTTCTTGAAAGCTGTCCAGGAAACGGACATGAAGGGCCCCACCGAAGCAATTATTGCATTACTTAATTTACATATCATTTTCATGTTGATAATGTACGAGTTTAATATGGTATGCCACTAGTGAACATGATGATGTCTTCTGGACTTATAAGACTTTTAACAAACTTATTTTATCACAAATAAGTGCAATGGATTTCCAAAGTAGCAATATCTCAAACTTTAAGTGTAACCTTATCATGCTGGTAAATTAAGGCATGCCTGTAACAATAGTATTTTCTGACAACCTGAACATTTAGCTGCCTTATATGGATATGACGATGTGAAGGTGAGCTTAAACAGCTTTTCAACATTTGATGAGGATCACTGGACAAGTCCTGGCAGGCATGGAACACACATTTGCCAATGTCTATCACTCTCATGCTCTCCTAACACTTGAGCGCATT